ATGTATCCTCAAACATCAATATCAATCAGAAGATCATGTGGAATAAAACTTCGAGGTGTGCAATGCGATGATGCCGAGCTCTTTCCTGTTGATCCAAAAGTACTTGAAACATTTGAACACTACCGTAAACACAAAGCTTAGTGAGTTCCCCTAAAATACCATATAATAAACAAGAATGAGCCTAACCCAACATACATGCTTTAGGCCCAACACATGCATTCGTGCACAACCCATATTATTAGGCTCATCCCATACAACCAGGCGCATCCCATGTAATCAGGAACAACCCATACAAAACATACATACACATATAAGAGTCACACAAACAATCTACATCCTACATTACAGTAAGAAGACTCGCCTCACAAAGTAGCTCAACAATCAACAAGCTAAAATTCACGGCACAGGTGCTAAAATCCACCTATATAACTACACAAGGAAAATCCTTAGTTTTCTGTCCTAAAACTAGTAAATTAACTAAAAGTCCAGTAGCTAAAATTCAACCCTAGAAGTTAACAATCAAAGTCAAAGTCAATATCAATCGACTTCCACGTCGTGGCCCACGAGCTTAAACCTGATCAGAATGCAAATCAGAAAAGTCTAGGTGGTCTTATTCGATCTCCATGTCGTGGCATAATAAGGACAAAACAATAGATCCACCCCCAGTTGCCATGATTTGGCCATTGAATGTCATGTTGTGGGAACTGGGTTCTAAACAGATTAGTAGAGAAATCGGTTTTGTTCGACCCAAGAGCTCCAAAGCTCATATCTGGTCCATACTGCGATCTAGATGGATAAAGTTTCCAACTTTATCCATTAACGCCACTCAAGAGATCAAGATCTCAAACCCTAGGTTCAAAAAAGGCAAAACATGACATGCACTCAACCATTAACCACTTATTATTTAAAGTCCTTAGTCTATCTTCTCTAGAAGAGTTTCTAAAACCAAAACTAGTGCATTATAGACATGCATGTTCAATGCATTTCTTGACTTCGTATTAGGACAAAAATAAGGGTTTATGAGCAAAACCTTATGCATGACTTCAAATCCTATTCTTACTTTAGATCTAAAGCATCAAATACCCCAAATGTCCTAGAGATTAACAAAGTTGCAATCTTTATGAGATCTCACCATCGTAACCTTCTTAGACAAGAAGAATAAGGGACAAAACTAAAGATCTAGCAACCTAACAACATAAATATTAACTCTTGGACACTTACAAAGGTCCATAAGATATGCTAGAAGATGAGGATGATGCTTTCACGGTGAACCAACACACCAAAAGGGCTTCATTCTCCTTCAAGAAACCAAAAACACAACAAGTTTCTTCAAAAAATGAGATCAAGGAGGCTAGAACTAATTAGGGTTTGAAAAGAGAGTGTTAGAGGTTGATGGTGAGCAAACCCTAGCTCACACATTCCTTAAATAGGACTTCAGACTCAGAAATTAGAGTTTTTGTCCTCGGACGGTTGTCACGCCGTGGTACATTGATTGTCACGTTGTGGCAACCTAAATTACGTTCGTGGGCGTTCTTAGATGTGCCATGTCGTGGTGGTGTCTCCACCAAGTCGCGACAACCAAAAACTTAATTAAATTAAATTGAATTAAATACGTCAAGAATCCGGATGTTACAGCCTTATAATTTAGGATCATAAAATTTTCAACCAAATCAAGTTTTTGTGTTAAAATAGGTTTTGGATCAAAACATTTATTGAATAATATGATTTTAAATCATAAAATATACGATTAAGGGTCATAATATTTTCTTAATCATATCATTTTAGATCATATTCTTCTAGATCTTATCATTTTTTATCACAACATTATGAACCATACAATACTTTAGCTCACCGTTCTAAAGAAACAATATTTTGGATTTTATCATTTTAAACCAAACCCAACTATTGTCACATAACACGTCTCGTATATCATTTTTTTAATCATATAACTTTGAATATAAATTATAAACATGCTGACTCATAATAATTTTGAATCATAAAATATATCGAATCAACTCATTTTAACATTAATAGTAGCTTAATTTACATACAAACTATAATTGATATAGTATATATATATATATATATATATATATATATATATATATATATATATATATATATATATATATATATATATATATATATATATATATATATATGGTACCGTACCAACTCCACCTAATATAAATTAGGATGAGCGTAGGGGAGTATCCGTCCTAATTATATAGAACCAGAACCGACAGTTTCTAAAATGTTGAACCGAAATTGAAACCAGCATGTAAAGTATGTAATACGCCACGTATTAAAAATGAGGATTATAAAATATCAATATCTTGAATCACGAAAAAACGTATGCGTGTTTCTTAAAACCTTTAAAGGTTCAAAATAAATTACTCAAAATTCTAAAACTTTATATGATGTTATTTGAGATATCGTATGAAGTATGTCAATGATATATATATATATATATATATATATATATATATATATATATATATATATATATATATATATGTGTGTGTGTGTGTGTGTGTGTATGTGCCTATGTTATTCTATTCAAAGTAATTATTGTGTTATTATATGCATAAATGTGGACCAATCAATTTTACTTATGTTCAGAAAGTGATTAATATATGTTATTGAATTAAATATAATTGAAAATTATCATCTAATTTAATTACAAGGGTATTTTAGTCTATTAATATTGATTTAATAAAGGAAAATTGCATATTTTAAGAGATCATAGATTCTATTAATTTTAAAAATCAGATTTTACGAATTATAATTCTTTTAATTCGAACATTCTGACAGAGTATGTTTTTGAGTATATTCAAAAATAAAAATATTCTTGAACCATAAATGATAAACATATTCTTGAACCTATTTATTGATCATGACTTTAAAAACTTCTCGTAGAATGACAAATTTTTGAACAATTAATTGAAGAATAAAAACAAAAAATACATTATTTCCTATAGAATACGAGTAACAGTTCTTAAGAATTACATTTATTGTTAAAGAATAAAACTAAAAAAACTTTCAAAACCGGAAAGAAAATATTAAAATCTAACAACGACACTACTACATTCTAAAAGAATAATGTTGCTTAGAATCACTTTCAATTTTGCGGTCCGTTTTTCAAGCATCAACTTCTGTGAAAACAAAATCAAATTGTAGTTTAGATTCCAACAGAATTGGAATTCATGATTTCCAATTCCAATAGAATTGGAATTCATGATTCCTTTTATCTTCTTCATGCCAATCTCAAGAATTGTACCACATGTTTATCCTCTTCATGATTCCTAAAACTGTATAGCACCCTAAGCAATTTAACAATTTCCAAGAAGAATTAGCAATTCAAATAATTGAATAAAGCAACACCAAACCGTGACATATTTTAAGAGACAATAACATATATGCAATACCCCATGGACAACCAGCAATACATTGAGACAATTTCAATTGGATTGATCAATTAAATACTAATTAATGACTGTTCGAATTCTTTTTCGTTTGTAGAAGAAGCAAATTTAGCAATATTCAAGTAGGCTTTTCCGATTAAAGGAACCTTGTTCTTCAGCCCTGTGTTTGATCCCTGGATTAAAGCAAAAAAATCGGATGTCTTAGTAAAAGCATATGATAATTCAGAATATATTATTTAATTAAACATAATCTGATTGAAATTCAATGCATATACATGAAAAGAAGATTCAGAACAACGTTAAATAATTATTAAAAATAATTTAAAAGGGGAGAAAATAAAGAACTCGCAACTGTAAATCCAATATCCCATGGAAGAAAGTCATTTTCTTTATACCCAGAAAGGGTACGAAATGGTACAAACTGAATTGAATTCTTTATCCCAGAATACAACACCGTTCGGATCAACGATTTCCCTTCTCTTGTGAAATCCCTCTTAGCTGTTCTTCTAACTGAACCCAAAGTGATCTTGGGTCCTTTCCACTTGATTTCCACAACCCTATGATTATCCTTCTCTAGGTCGGAATGTTGAGGATCACAATTCGCACCCTCCATCTTCATCAATTTTATCGACATTCATCATCGGCGGAGATTATCTTCAGCTTCGATGTGTTGACAGAATAACACATGAACATGGAAGGGTTTGGTGGTGGTCGTCGGCAGCGGTGGCTATAAGGAAGGAAAAGCGTCGATACCCTCTAGGATGCTAGGGTTTTATCTGGTGGGAGATTGAGGAAGACACGCTTATTTATTTAATCAATACTATGATTATAGGGATTATTTTTGGAATTTACTAAACTAATTACTAAATTCACCTTATTTATTTATTTAATTATTTAATTTTTATTTAAAATTGATTGGCCCACATTTATACATATAATAACACAATACTTAGTTAAAACATTTGAACCTAACTCTCTCTCTCTCTCTCTCTCTCTCTCTCTCTCTATATATATATATATATATATATATATATATATATATATATATATATATATATATATATATATATATATATATATATATATATCGGTTTCGGCGAGTACCCTACATGTAGCGGTAAGTAAAAACCAGAACTGCGGTAAGTAAAAACCGGAACTGAAACCGTATATGTAAAAAGGTTGTGATTATAGAAACGAGACAAAACTTCAAAAATGGTCCTTGTGGTTTTCGAAAATATCAAGTTTAATCCCTAAGTTCAAAAAACCTCACAGATGGTCCCTGTGGTTTCAAAACTTTTAATATCTGGTCCTTCCGGCTAACTCCGTTACCATTTAGCCGTTAAGTCAGGGGCATTTTTGTCATTTCACTACAGAGGGACCATATATGAGGTTTTTAATTACTTTTTGAAAAACAAATAAATAAATAATATTTAATATGCAAAGGGTCCCTCTCTCTCTCTCTCTCTCTCTCTCTCTCTTAAAGAAGCTAAACCATCTGGACCACCATTTTTTACTGTAAAGCTTGTGTATAACAAGAAAAAGAGAAGATTGGTATCAAACAAGATCCATATCTTGTTATTCACCTGACTTTGGCCTTGAACCACCTCCCATAACCATACGTGCAATCGATCCCACCGCCGGAGCCATCACCCTAAATTTAGGCCTCAACCAAGTATCATCGGTAAACATTAAGCTTTGGACAACATCTGAATATTGACGATATCCTTGTAAATAAGGCAAACCCCCAGTTATAGGGTCGAAATCATCGTTCCAAATTATAGGTAGAAAAACATAGCACCTGATTACATTTGAGTTCGTTGTGATGGTAGAATCATCACTAAATAGAGTTTGTCTCTGGTTCTGAGGATTAAACATGCATACACATTGGTTAAACTCATAATTTTTTTGTGTGTGAGATGTGACAGGGTTGTTTGAAAGAGGAGATTGAGGGGAGTAATTCATCGATCGTCGGAGATGATCGAACTACTAACCAGAGTTGGAGAAGTCGATGTTTATAATAGAATAGGGGATATAGGGTTCAAGGGAGAAGCGGTGGGAGTTGATGGTGATGAATTGGCATTTTAGGCACTGGGAGGTGGTGTTTTTTGTCGTCGACAGGGATGAGAACACAGACAAGAACTTATTCAAACAAATTAATCAAACACAGATAAATCAATCAAATTTACATTCTAATTGAACTGAACGAGAATAAGACCCACAATCAAGAACTTAATTTAGCCTTCTGCCCTAATCTCACATGAAAACACAAACAAAATCAATGTTATACCATCAATAAATGTGGATCTACACTAGAAATAATTAGTTATAGATCCAATACAATATCGATTTTGGATATCTATCAGATGGGGAGATGAATGTGAAAGACATCAAAGATGGTGGTGGTAGTCGGTGGAAAGGAGGTTGCAGAAATCGATCTCTCAGATTGAAATGGCGATGGTCTTCAAAGAGGAGGAAGGCAACACAGGTGGTCATCGATGTAAGGGAACTCAGCGGTTGTTGTTGTCGTCATATGGAGCTTTAGCATAGGGTCTTGGTGATCGGAGGTGGTGGGAGGCGAGGTCTTCAAAAAGTTGTGGACTTTGATGTTAGGGGTGACGGTGGAGAGAGAGAGAGAGAGAGAGAGAGAGAGAGAGAGAGAGGGGGTGGGACCCTTTGCATATTAAATATTATTTATTTATTTATTTTAAAAAAAAGTAATTAAAAACCTCATATATGGTCCCTATGTAGTGAAATGACAAAAATGTCCCTGACTTAACGGTTAAATGGTAACGGAGTTAGCCGGAAGGACCACATGTTAAAAGTTTTGAAACCACAGGAACCATCTGTGAGGTTTTTTGAACTTAGGGATTAAACTTGATATTTTCGAAAACCACAGGGACCATTTTTGAAGTTTTGTCTAGAAACGAATATCCGGTGCATGCTCATATGCCTATAAACGATTAATATAGGTTGAAATATTTGAATTTGAAAATTTAATGGTATAGTGGCGTTGAAAATTTTGACTAATATGTGGGCTGGAATTTGCCAATGTGGCCCAACGAACGAAGATTAATATTTAATGTGGATTGTGGGATTAAAAAAATAAAACGGTTGTAATATGGGCTATAAGGAGTGTCTTTATAGGGCTTTAAACAACCGTTACTTGATGCGGGTGGTATTTGGGTTTGAAAAAAATCGTAAAAATTATGGATCAATAAAAACAAGATACTGGCTCAAATATGGGCTTATGATTAGTTTTGTAAGCTTCAAGAAAATTTCAAAAGGCTGAATGGCTGATAAAGGCTTTAAAAGAAAGTAAATAATTTGCTCTTAAGAACACTATACAATCAGAGAAAGCTTACTTGTAACAAAATCAATTCAAACAAAACTCTAATTGTCATTTTAACAGTTCTAAATTTAATACGTCATTTTCTGATAACAACATTAATCGATCATTAGGATTTAAATATCCTCAAATGCCATAGATGAACCAAAAAAATTGTCATTATTGTTATTATATGTTTTTTATTTTTAAATAAATACATATACATGTATAATATTAAAAATAAAATAAAACTGGGTCCCAAAATTTTTTGTACCTTGTATGCAACTGTCCGCTTTGCCTCTCCGTCAAAGCCCCACATAAAGAGTTTATTCATGTAAACTAACGTTAACACTATATTTAAAGAAAATTGTCATCTTAACTAGTCGAGATAGTTCTAGATTTAGGTGTTGTTGGTTTTTTGGAAGAGAAATTTTAAGAAGTCTGCGGACCACCTCTACAACCCTCTACAGTGGATCAAACGGTTGCAGACTGTATTAAGAACTTTGTTTGTTTTTTTAACCTCTACAGATTGCTACAATAAATTGAAATTTAAATAAACTAATTTTATATTATTAAAATAGTTTTTCAAAACAAAAAAATAATAATTTTAATCTTGCAACATTGAAATAAAATTATTACATTTTTTATAAAATCATTCAATACTATTAAATATTATTCACAAAATAAACGAATTAACATTAAAATTACATTGTTTTAGCTAAACAACATCTATATGAGTTGTTTCAAATTGCTCTTGATTTGGAGCGCCTTCACAAAAAACTTGATTCAACACTTGGAGCAAGATTCTCTTCGCTCCTCTTTGCCTATGCTTCACCTACTTCACAAATACAAGTATGATTTCAAAGAGCATAAATACATCACATTTTTACTAGCATACTTCTAATTATAAGCATATACTATTTGACCATTTGCATTTGTTACTAGAGATGTACAAGACAAAACGAAATGCAATTAAATTAAACTTCAATATTCTCTCAACCATTTCATCGAGCACATGTAGTGGACACTTGTTTCCTTCTTAAATTACTATCGCTAGATGTATACTATTCATTCCACTCTTTAGACATCCAATTTGGCAAAGAAAGGAGACATATACATGATTGGAAGCAAATCAGAATAACAAAAATCAAACTTTTCATTGATGTGCGTCAAATCAACATAAACTTGCAAGAAAATCAGAAAACCAACATAAACATATAAATGTTGTTAATTGCAGCAAGAAAATCATAAGAATAATTGATTTCAAGAAACTATACCATCAGCTAATTTCATAAACATAAATGTTGTTGAAAAGAAGAATTGATTTCAACAACAACTATCGATTTCAAGAACTGAATCAGAAGCTATACATGTTGGAGCAGTGATGAGAGATGGGAGCAACGAACATAAAATCAGTTAAGGTGGAGCAGTCATGGCGACCGGCGATGTGCGAGCTGCGACGACTTGACGGGAAAGGAGGAACGATGGGAGATTGAATGAACGGCTTTTTTTTTAACGCCCCAAAAATTGTTACTTAAAAATTTTTATTTTCAGATTAATAAATCGATAACACGCGTCTTCTCATAAAAACCAAGGTAATTTATTTTTTAACAAAGCATTGACAAATCAGGGTATTTCATAGAAAACAGAAACACGTGGTGTGCGCTCTGCAATCATCCCGAGCCCTTCCATTTGAAAACCAGAGTACCTGAAAAATTAAACTGAAAACCGTAAGCACAAAGCTTAGTAAGTTCTCCCAAAATACCACATAAAATACAACCACAAAATATCATACATAGAATATCATCCACAATATATCATGAAACATACATATAGTTGGCATGGACTCCCCCCATAGTCTTTACTAAGAATGACATAGGCTCCCCCATGGTCTTATATCCAAAATATCATGGGCACCCCCCACGGTCTTATATCCAAATGTCATGGGTTCCCCCATGGTCTTCTCTCCAATTGCCATGGACACCCTCATGGTCTTTTATGTAAGTATCACAGAGACAACTAGCCACTACTAGAAAAACAACCTTTTTATGACGCGCAATGCATGTCGTAAAACGCTCAGACGATGCGCAAATGCATGTCAAGGAAGGACCTGTCATAACGAGAGACGACACGCTTTTGCGCGTCGTCTATTTACGATGCGCATTTACGACGCACATTTATGACACGCATTTACAACGGGCGGTTATGACACGCAATGCGTATCAAGGAAGGTCCTGTCATAAAGAAAGATGACACGCATTTGCGTGTCGTAAACTTACGACGCGCATATTTATGACACGCAATGCGTATCAAGGAAGCCCCAGTCAAGAAAGGTCATGTCATAAATGAAGATGACACACATTTTTACGTATCGTAATTTTAAATGTTTAAAAAAATATTATTTTTAGATTTACTAATTTTCAAATTAAATTTGCATTTAATGTTTTATAACAAAAAATAAAATACCATATACAAAAAATACAATCCATTGCATAAAATTTAATGTCATACAAATAATCGATCCATGGAAAGATAAAACAAATCAACAGAAGTTGTTTTCTCCCTATACATGATTATCACATACTAAATAACAAACTTTATTTCATATTCATACATATGATTACATTATTCATTAAAAAAACATATACCTACATCTTCGCCTAAAATGTTAGTACATAATGCAAGTTGGCCACTTCATTGATGGATCACCAAGAGGAAGACCAACAACTGATGTTAAGTTTCACAAATATGATAATATTGGATTAATAAAATATTTAAGAAAATAAAATGGTAGATTTGTATATTGTATTGAACCTTCTATATGGATTCAGCTTTGTTCTCGGCTCCTAAAGTTTCAGTGGCGGTGCCTCTTGTTTGGCGCCATATACAAGCTTCATCTAGCGGCTCCACAAGCTTTGTATCTTGAGGGATTTCCACTTTCATCCGTATGTTTGTCCTGGATATTTGTTTCATAACAACACACCATGATTTCACCTAATATTTTTTTACTAAAGAAAACTAGATACAATGGTGAAGTGAAAGAGCATGTAGATAGAGACAGTTAATTAATTACCTAGTAACAAGCTGAAATGTTGAATATGATCCGCAGGAAGTCCCAAGACACCAAAATTTTAAGCAAACATTTACATACTCCTATTAAAGATTCTATAAAACAAAATTTTATAAGAAAGAATGTTCAAAGAGAAGATGAAGATCAAATTCAACTCACTTTCTAAGAGCTTTTTCATGTACAACAAGGCTAGTTCCAGTTCCTTCCAACCCTACACAAAGTATCACATCCAATTAGTAAGTAAATATAAGCATCTATTCCAGGGTTAAAATGGTAATTTGTGTGATTTTATAACCAAACACAAATTACCAGGCAAATACATAAGAACAAGAGAATCTTTCAGAGGCCTGTTATAGGCAACAGGGTAAAACCACCTAGGTGGCCCACCATCACTACTAATTAAACAACTCAAATCCATGGCTATTGTAGTGTAATCTTTCATGGTTTGTGTCCCATAACCATCATCCCAATAGACTATTAAGATGAAAAATCAGATTATTAATAATAGAAACACATGCAAGTTCGTTTCTAGTTCTTTATCACATTAGGTTTCTAGCCTATATACTCTGTTTAAACCCTTTGTTCAGATCAATAAAGCAAGTATTTAACTTGACCAAAACTACAACATTCAACTTTGAAAAGCTCAAAATAGTTGGAAACAGATGTAACAGCAATAACTAGGATAAAACCGTCATATATGAATATTATTGACATTGTGGTTAAATATCTACCTTTCCCCATGTTTGTTTCTACTAATTCCAACATATAGCTATCCTGCCCAAAATAAGTAGATAATGATTTAAAAGACTGATTTCATATATAATATCTTGACTGCTTGTCTATATTCGAATAAGAAGTGAAACTGCCCAAAATAACAATGTAAGATCATGGAAACATATTAAGATGTGACATGTGGAACATTAAACTTGTATGAAAAAAATAACCCAAGAACATTAAATAGAGAATGATTTGCTAAGGAAGCCCAACAGATAAGGTGAATCATGTTGGCTAATAAAACCTAAAAGAGTTATCCATGTTTGTGGAGTTTAAGCTCCAACATAAATGCAAAAGCTCAAAACCATTACTTGTTTGGAGTCTATACAAACATGAATCTCATCAAACAAGTGAACATGTCGTGCAGAGAACAACAACGTACTTTCATAAGTAAATAAACTTATGTTTCTTTTCTTGCATTTAACCTACAACACAAAACTTACCTACATTATGTGTTGGTAAATATCATTCATAGGTTTTCCAAGTTTCAGGTTGGGAAGAAACACAAACAACAACACATAATATGTATCAAAAGTTGGATCATAGTTGTAATTTTCCAGCACAAAAGTAGTAGTAATAGAACAAATACACTCACACACATGAAATGAAAGGGTTGGTTGGGTTTTTCTAGTATTAGAACATAACTCACTTGACATTCTCATTGAGAGTAGGTAGGGGTCTAACCATAGTAGCATTTGGCCCTAGCACATGGTGCTCCTTGTTGTGTATTACTTACAGGTTGTTTGTGAGTGATTGCAGAGCATCAACATTCACATACTTGTAACACATGTTGTTTGTGAGTGATTGCAGAGAATCAACATTCACAATATGCATATTTCATTAATGTTAACCAAATTACAGAAATGGTCCTTGTTGTGTATTAAATTTTTCATAGTTGATCCAAATAGTGAATGGGTCATTTTCTCAAATACACATCAAGGGCTTGAATACTTGAGGAAATAGTAATAACACAACTATACTTATTATGTTTTAGTTACTTATGCTTGTGGTAATCCAATCACCGAATACACAAGGTAATTTGGTAATTAGTTATGTTCTTGCGCATCATTCATTCAAATGCATATAATTTCATTAAGTTCTTATTATATATATCTATTGATTCAAGTTCTCCTTATCCTACTCTAACAAGTTAACTCATTCAAAGTGTAAAGTCTGCTTGTAATTTGTAAGAGAAACATTAGCTTTAATTAATTTGCTTTTAACTAACTTTAAGAGCTTGGTTTTCCCTATTAAGTGATGTATGGATAATGTGGTTCAATGGGTAATTAATTATGTCTATATGGATAAAGCCCTGCACAAACAAAGTTTGCTTTTTTTTTTTTGTATCTAAATGTAGGAAGTTACCATTTTACCCTTACACTTTAATAAATCATTTTTACCATATACATATTAGAGTAGAATTTAAGAACTTGAATCAAACCTGACAATTTGCCAAAGATTTGGATCTGAATGTATTAAGCCAAAAATCTAGACTGGATGCATTAAAACATCATGTATGGATTAAGGAGTTGTTTTGTAGGCTCTTAATGCTTCCATTCAGAGGCAACCTCTAAATGGTTCAGTCATTCAGAGAGCAGTTGAGAAAGAACCTCAATCTTTCCCCTTCCATCGATGAAGTAGACAAGCATCCCCTGCTTCGATGACACAAACCTCCTGTCATCCCCAAAGCAACATAACCATGACAAAAAAAAAAACTACAAAATTTACAAATGAAGAAATTAATGAGTATACCGTAAAGCATAGTGTTGACATGTGAAACATTTTGTTAGGGTCCCACTTCCCTCATGTTTGGAGGCAAGATCAAACGCATTCAAATATTTTTCTTCCATAACTTGCAGTGCCTACATTTACAAAATTTAACAAGAAATGAACCAAAGGATAAAAAAGTCAATGTTCGGAACACAAATAAATGTGTTACCTGACTACACAGACTCTAGCCACATCTGCTCTTGCAAAGGTTTTGGTTTTATTCTGAAGAAGCTTGTAGAACCCACTTTCCTTGTCTTGCAAACCCCTAGCTAGTGGCAGAACTCTAAAAGGTCCAGGGAGGCTATGGCCCCCTTTTTCATGTTAAAACATCTTATCAGGTCATTATTTCAGTCAGAAACTATTCAGCATGCATCAACATTAACTAGATGTTTTCTCAAAAATAAAAATAGAATATAAATTCAATAATAGAAAACAAAAACCAACATTTATTACATCGATCAGAAGTTTATATAGCCGAAAAATCATCCTTCAGAATGATGAAAACAACATTTTTTTTAATTGTAACATCCCGAAATATCAAGAGTAGAGTTGAAGGGCTAAAAGAGTAAATTGGGAAAGAGTGACTCGGCGAGTCCATGTGCGAACTCGGCGAGTAGAGTCGCGACTTGGTTGCGTGTTAAGTGGCCGACTCGGCGAGTCAGTGTAATGGACTCGGCGAGTAGGCGCTGAGTGGAGAAAACCCTAATTCTCGGGGTTGAGCCTTATATAAAGATCACTATGTTTTCCTCCCAGCCTCTTTATCACCCCTTGAGCCCCAGAAAACCCTAAATCACAGAGAAGCACCATTGTTGAGTGGATTGGAGCTTGGAGAAGTAATGGTTGAAGAAATTTTGGGAAGATTGAAGGCTTGGAGCAAGGGGCTTTGCTTGGATTCGAATTTCATTGCAGTTGGGGCATCACTTAGAGGTAATATCTCGTTATTGACCTGTTGTTATGTTGTTTCTTCATTTTGGGGTTTGTGAGAAATTGTCTATGGATGAAATGGGAAGTCTAGAGGTTAGATCTGAGGTTGCTACCTTAGATCTGGAAGGGAGAAGAATCAGAGAGCATGAAAGTCCCTGTGTTGGAGTGTTTAGTGAAGCTTACATGTCCCAAACCCTAGCCCCAATGTGCAAACGACTTAGATCTCTTTGGATTCACGTAAAGTTTGCCACTTTACGTGATGGATGAGTGGTAGGAGACTAGATCTATGTTTTGGATCAATTGCATGGCCTGAGACGCTTCTGTATGGATTCAGCCGGTGGTACTCGACGAGTCACATGGAGCGACTCGACGAGTTGCTTGAAGATGGCCTGGAACTCGATGAGTTGGAAGAACAACTCGGCGAGTAGGTTGAAGATAGCCTTGGACTCGGCGAGTCTTGTCGAAGAGTCCCAAATATTCTCTGGTTGAGTCGAGAATCGGTGAGTCGAGGGATGACTCGGTGAGTCGTGTGCGAGTGGACTCAGAGTTGTTGGACTCGGCGAGTCTCGGGGTGACTCGGCGAGTTAGGTCGCAGATTGAGTGAAGTTCTGATTATGGGAACTCGACGAGTCACAGGGTTGACTCGGCGAGTAGGGTCAGTCAGGGGTTGACTTAGACTGAGGACTTTGATTTCGACCAAGGGTTGGCCATTGACTTTTAGGGTTTGGTCAGCGATGTGGCCTTTGGGCCAAGAGAAAGGTAAAATAGTCTTTTACCCATAAGAGGGTGTTATGAGAGGATTTATTCTAGTCTCAAGAGTTATATTCATGAGAGTATTTGCCTTACGTGTTAGGCGGTGGCGAGTTCGAGATTCAAGTGTGGGGATATCTGCTTTCTACTTGCCAGGTGAGTCTTCTCACTATACTTTACCTTGAGTATGTAACCAGAGTTATGTGATCAGAGTATTTGTATGCTATATGTACGTGATGTGTTGTACTGCATTATTTCTATGTGATTTATGCTGTGCATGTTTATAGAGTTGGAACCGGAAGGTTCCCAGAGTTAGAACCTAAGGGTTCACAGAGTTTGGGTGCACGGACCCATAGAGCTATAGCCTCGAGTGGCTAATATGTGTTATGTGTGGTATTTTGGGGAACTCACTAAGCTTCGTGCTTACAGTGTTTTGTGTGATGTTTTTCAGGTTTCTTTCAGTATCACGGGACGGCACCGGCTTGATTGTACACACCAGAGAAAGAGTCATATTTTGGAGGATCCTGGTTTTCTATGCAAGTGAAAATGGAGTCATGTTTTGTTAATCGACTATGAATGAGATTTTAAACAAGTGTTTCTAAGAATAAAATGATTATTTTAAAAGAAAATTTTGTCTTGAAATTTACGGTGTTACATTAATAATGCCAAAAAGCCTATTATAATGAAAACATACAATACCAATCACATAAATATGAATCAAAGTCTTGAAGATGGAAATGACAACTTATGCAAAGGGAAAAAAAGGTCCAATCCAAAAACTGCATTTTCTCTTTAGTTCTTGCAATGTACATGGTTGACCAGGAAAGGGCAAAAAAGGTCCAATCAAAAAACAATTATCTAGAAGTCAATTGAAATTGGAAAAATAACCTAATAAATCTATAAAGAAATAATATCATACAATTTTATGTTTATGTATCGCTATATTCCAAATTCTCTTTGAGTTTAACCACCCAAAATCAACAGAATCCCCAAATTAGATTCAAACCCTAACAAAGTTTGAATTAATAAAGAGAAAGTATAAATTAAATACAGAGGGAAACAAAAATATAAAAGAATAGAGGGAAACAAAGTGTGGATCATGGTTCTGATAAAAACATAAAAGAGAGGGCAAACCCAGAACACCATTAGAGAGTGAGAGTGCTTAACCTTTCAATCCGTTGAAGATGGACAGTTTTGAAGTGGGATCCAACTTCTGAGCTTTCTCAAATGCATAAATCGACCTGTAGAATTCAAAACGAGGAAGATGAAATTGTTTTCCTAGATTCGATTAAAATACAATTAAAATTACTTGTGTGTGAGCGTAACGATAGATTGATAAATTCAAAACTTACATCATTCAATAGGATATGAAGAACTTAAGTTTAGATCAAGAAAATAAAGAGAAGCGAACCTGATAATTACCTGATGGAAAATCGAGAAGATGAAGGAAGATGAGACGGTCATAGAAGAGAAGAATAAAGAAAGGGCAGAGATAGTTAGAGACAACGAGGGAGGACAACATACGGCAACGACAAACATCATCATCTTCTTCCACTGCCTGGCAGTGTGTGATTCACGGCGACGATGTGATTGTCTTTCAACGGAAGTTTCGATGTCCGATTGACACGGGTGAGCTTTGGGATCGACTTCTAGAGATATTTTCAGGCAAAGAACCTTTGAAGTACAAACAAGAAAAGGTTAATTACGTTTATTGAGATGTGGTTCAAATCCCTAGTTCTTTTCGTCGAATTTGTGAAGACATGACCCGAGATGGAAGGATATGGAAACGGTGAAGAGAGAGAGAGAAGATGGCAAGTGAGCAAGGAAGGAAGGAGCATCGATAACTAGGGTAAGGCGGCAGTCGGGATGAGGAAGGAAGGAGCATCGATAAGATAATTAGGGCAAAAGGGAAACAACCATCGAAATCGACAACGCCATCTCCGAAATTGACCGGAAAGCACCTCTGTTCACCATCACCGGCAGATCCATCCCAGTCTCCCTTCTTTCCATCACTTTTCACAGTAGAGAAACAAGAGGGTAGAGTCGATTATGGAGATGCAAAAAAGAAGGTAGAAAAGAAAGGCGGGTTTTCAAAATTTTAGGGTTTTGTTTTCCCCCGTCATCTTCTCAAGGCGCGTTTCACTAAAATTATAAAGCGACACCCGCAGAGGACGCGTGTTTAAGATAAAGCGCCCTCCATGTTTTTAATTTTTTTTTCTTGAGACACTAATTTAAGGGCACGCAAAAATGCGTGTCCTCTATCCTTTAAATTTTGGAAGGCTGACATTATTTTTAAGGACGCACGAAAATGGTGTATGGAAAATCAGCGAGTGCCATTGTTTGCGCGTCATTAAAGGGTATTTTTCTTGTAGTGAGCATTCCGCATAACAAGTAATGGACAGGCATTGGTGCCTTCGACCCATAAATATAGTGACAAGACTCACCTCACACTTCCAAGTCTCACAGACAAATGTCGGCTGCTGGTTGACAGGTCCCTAAACTATCAAACATCAAAACAACATCCAATTAACAATTGGGTGCCAAGGCATAACCATAAATCCATACTTGGGGTAAAAAGGCCATTTTACCTCTAACCTAGCGTGGTCCAATACTAAGGCCCAAACTCACACTCTGAAGACCCAAAAGCCAAATAACCAACCAAGGCCCAATTTGACCCAATTTTCCAAATCGGTCCCAAAACCCCCTTACATGGGCCTTACCCTAACGCCCATCCAAATATCCTAGCCCATACACTAGTTCTTGGATGGTCCATTAAGAACCCAAACACCTAAGCCCAAAAGAAAAGGTCCAACTCGAGCCCAACACAATTAGGGTTTTCACATAAAATGAAGATTAGGGTTAAGTAAATATACTTAACCCATTAAGGAATTAATCCATTAAGTTCATCACTCCACTAGGTTAATCCTACAATGTGGTCGGGCATAATTCAAAATTCCAAATCTAACGGTCCAAAACGCTGGTCCCGGCAAGTCTCAAACAAAAGTCTCCAAGATTAGATTTTTCTAAACCATAATTAGGGTTTCCAACTCAAACACATGTCAATTAGCCCAAAGGTTAAGTTTTAGATTAATTTAGGTCTCACATGGTCGAGCACCACCTACTACTACCCCGGGCGGTGGTGGTCGACGACGGTTCACGGTGGTAGGAGGTGGCAACCACCTACACCAAAACACACACACACACATACACACAAGCACCTAACATGGTGGTTGGCTGTGATAGGAGGTGGCAGCCACCACCTCACGACGGTGGTGATGGCTTTTCTTGAATTTTCGGCCGAGATACACCCACACAACATCATGAATACTGATAACAACATGTACAAACGAAACACACATACTATCAGCCACCTACTAGGCGATTGACGACACCGGAATGAAACAGAAACAATGACAAACGAGATAGTGGCAACAGAAAATGACATATACAATTCCACACTCACAAAAGGAACGAATGAGAGGAGGGGTGAGTTGCAGTTATCCTTACCGAAAGATTTCAGTCGTTTGCAACCTACTCTTCCTCGTTCACAGCTCAAATCTTCAATCTCGATGATCCTCCTAGCCACTCACGACGTCACCGGAATCATGGGTTGTGGTGGGGGTGTTCGTCGACAAGGTAGCAGAGGAGTAGGGCAGCGGTCGAACTTAACAAAGCAGGCGACGGCTGAGAATGTATCCAAAAAAGGTGGTGGCTGAAAATGTAGTTAGGGTTAGGGTAAATACAAGGAAAACGATGGGGAAGGGAGGTGATGCCTTAAGTCCTGGACCCTAACTTCAACTTATACCAAATGGATTTGATAAAACAAGGGAGAAGGGAGGTCAAACCCACTGCTCTCCTAGGTGTCGGAGGGTCTTTATCTAAATGGATTTGATAAGACATAATCTCGTTAATAAGAATAATGACATAAAGTAACTAAACTATTTTTAAAATCCCACTCTTAGTTACTTTAGGAAAAATGTGAAATGTACGCTAATCCATGAAAATATACATCCTACTTTATATGTTGTTAGTGGAGAGTGTGTGGTTAACCGACACACTAACAGGGACTATAAAGAGATATGATGGACACCATGAAGATTATCATTGTTGATGGAGTATGTGTGGTTAACCGACACATCAATGTGAGATGGTAAATGACATCAAGGTTATCAAGCGGGTTTGCATGGTTATTCACATCTTGTTTGTGATCCTCGGCATCCCAGTCACAAAAGCGAGAGCATAATCTTATATTAAACATGTCATTGATTAAATTCAATGAATCTCAAAAGATCTAGGAGTTTCATATGATTGAAATTGCTAAAAGCCTTACATACCTAAAATAGATTCGAATTTGATTATGGCATCCCTCTTCAAAGTTCGAATCGAAAATATGGATCCTAGCCTTAATTTAAAATTTATGGGTTAATAATTAAGGGTTAAAATCAACTAAATTGAATTCTCTTTTCCCCCATTATAGATGTTAAGTCAAAACAATAATGGTATTCCTCATTCTTTTGGAAATGGTTTTCCTCTATCATCATAAGATGATCTTCCACTTTTTAATCTAGGTGAAAATGTTTTATCTTCTTCGAGAAATGGTGGAATTGGACATCATGATTCTTCAACTCTTCCACCTCCTCTTCCAGTGACTCTCCTAACGTCACATTTTCCTCGAGTTGAAAGATATGAAACTACTCAAGCCCCATTAGCATGTAGATATCAAGATGGAAATTTCATGTGTGCACATGTTCCGGAAATGAAATCGTATATTGACGAGTTAGATAGATTGGGTGTCATTTTACTAATAGAGCAAGCCATTGATTTGGTTCTAATTTCGTTTCCAAAGTCATATGAACAGTTCATTGAGAACTTTCATATGATAAACATCGATGTGACTCTAATTGATCTGACCCAAATGTTAATTGTTGATGAATTGGAAATGCTTAAGAGTACATCTGAAGAAGAGATGCTTAAAGGGTCTGATTCCAAAGTTTCCATGGACATTGATAATGGTGGTCCAAAACAGATTTCTCTTCCCAATGAAAAAGGATTGGCCAAGGTCAAACTGTTTGATCATATGGTAAACAGAAAGGCTAGTTTATGAGATAGTTCCATGTGTTAACCCTAAAGAGTCCATATGATTCTATTACTAATTAAAGGGGCAATGGTTGCGAAGCTGCCCAAAGTACCTATAAAATCTCATATATAGTGAAGTCAAGTTGTGTGACTCTACTTTGAGTACATCAATTATCTAAACTTCATTATCTTAACAAGTTCTTATTCATAAATTCTTAATACATGATGTGATGATCATATTTCGATGTTATTACATGAGAAACAAGGAAGCTTAAGTATAGTGTGCTAAATCTGATCAGGGAAATGGACTTCGGTCACATGGTTTGATGATTAGATTTTGGAGCTACTAATAAGCAGTGAGGATAATTTAATAGATTGCTACTACTCTTCAGAGATGTCTAGAAATGTAGTTTTTCATTTTATGCCTTGTAAGGACAAGTTCCAATTTTTCGTTTATTTTCAATAAGAGTGAAATTTTGGTTTATTTGGTTGCCTCATTTTATAGATTTTCTTATTATGGCCTTTATGAAAGTGTTAAAACGGGAGAGAGATGAGAGAAAATAGCAACCCTAAACGGCTGGCACTTCAAATCTATTTATAGGGAAAAATTTGCCCTTGCCACGTCATGGCACCTTTTTCCATGTCGTGGGCATGGTCGTCACTGCATGCATCATCGCAAGTTGTGTTTGGGGGACTCCAGGAGGTGTCAGAAGACTTGCCATGTCGAGGTATCTGAGAGTTTTGGGGTTTCGCGCCCTGAACTTCAGAAATTCATAACTTTCGCATACGAACTCCGTTTTCGACGTTCTTTATATCGATGCGTAGGTGAGATTATGATCTACAACTCCTGTTTAGACTCCGTTGGCTAATTTTTAATTTATTTTTAATAAATTATAAATATATTACTTATATATTATTTTTAGTAGGCCGGGACAGGAAAACTCCGTTATAAATTCATAACTTCTTCATCCGACGTCCATTTTCGCCTATCTTTTTATCATTTCACTACTATTAACGAGATCTTTGATTCTCATTTAGATTGTTTTGGCTAAAAACCGCTCGATCTCAAATCGAGTATTCGGGCTGCGTACTGCTAAGTCGAAACTTCAGAAATTCATAACTTCCTTATACGAAGTTAGATTTGGGCGTTCTTTTTATGCACGCTCTCGGTTTAACGAACTCTTCAATTTTCGTTTAGATTACTAAGGCTAGATATCGCTCTATCTTAAATTCGTATTTTACGTCATTCGGCATCGTGCCGGTTCTGTCGCGAAACTTCGACAGATCATAACTTCTTCGTTATAACTCGGATTTCGGCATTCTTTATATATTCGAAAACCTCGTTTCAACTACTAAAACATTATCCAAAGATATCGACTTTATCTACTATTTTATTTTGATGCTTATTTTTATTCTTAATTCATTTAATTCACCTAACTAAGAACAAAACATATAATATTCAAATAATACATTCTTATTATTTCAAAATGGGTTACAAAGGTTAACGTAGACTAATAAATTGCTATTAATGACAAGCCCATAAACACAGGCGTTACAATTCTCTCCACCTTAGAATGATTCCGTCCCCGGAATCACACATCAACAAACAACTGCGGGTAGCGACTCATCATGTCACTCTCTGTTTCCCAGGTGAGATTCGACCCATTTGTGTGTTTCCATCGGACAAGCACTAAGTCGACTATCTTGCGTCGCAACATCTTAGTCTTTCGGTCAACGATTGCTTCAGGTTCTTCAATCAACCTCTTGTTCTCATCAATTCTTATCTCAGGAATTGGAATTATGTCGGGAACTTCTCCCGTGAACTTCCACAAATAACACATATGGAAAGTGTTATGAATTCCATTCAGTTCTTCTGGTAGTTCGAGCTTGTAAGATTGGTTCCCAACCCTCTGAAGAACTTTAAACGGCCCAATAAACCTTGGACTTAATTTTCCCCTTTTAACAAATCTTATAAGTCCCTTCCATGGCGAGACTTTAAGCAAAATCGAATCTCCAACTTCAAAAGTCATCGGTCTTCGCTTTTTGTCAGCATAGCTCTTTTGACGATCCTGAGCGACTAACATTATTTCCCATAAATTGATTTTCCCCAGCCTCAAACCAACAAGACAGCGTACGACACTTCTATCCGTACAAAGCTTGATAAGGTGCCATCTTTATGCTCGAGTGGAAGCTATTATTGTAGGAAAATTCTACCAAAGGTAAATGTTCATCCCAGTTACCTAGGAATTCTAGGGTATATAATCTCAACATATCTTCAAGTGTTTGTATTTTTCTTTCGCTCTGACCATCAGTTTGCGGATGGTAAGCTGTACTTAAACACAACTTGGTACCCATTTCCTCTTGTAGACTTTTCCAAAACCTTGAGGTGAAATGACTATCACGATCTGATACAATCGTTAACAGAACACCGTGAAGCCTTACAATTTCCTTCATGTAAGAATTCACAAGCTTTTCCATAGACCATTTCTCATTGACTGCTATGAAATGCGCAATCTTAGTGAATTGATCAACGACCACCCAAATCATGTCGTGACCATTCTTTGTTATGGGCAATTTAGTGAAAAAATCCATAGCAATGTCTTCCCATTTACCCATAGGTATAGGCAAAGGCTCTAAACTCCCATATGGTTTCCGATGTTGTGTCTTGACTCTAGCACAAGTCACACACTCGGCCACATACGTTGTAACATCAAGCTTCATTGTCGGCCACCAGTAGTAGGGTTTCAGGTCCCTATACATTTTAGTGCTACCAGGAGGAATCGAGTACATGGTCTTGTGAGCTTCTTCCATCAGAAGATCTCTGACTCTTCCTGTCTTAGGTATCCAAATCTGATCTTGGAACACCTTCAGTCCATGACTGTTTATACCGAACACCAACGTTTTGCCCAAACGTTCCTCCTTTCGGTCATTCTTCTCAGAAGCTTCCTCTTGAGATTTCTTTATACTCTCCATAATTGTCGAGACAACTTCTATTCTCAACGCTCTTGGCCTCTTCCTTTCAAGATTGAGTTTCCGACTGAGAGCATCAGCAACAATATTAGCTTTACCAGGGTGGTAAAGTATCTCACAGTCATAGTCCTTAAGTAACTCTAGTCAGCGTCATTGCCTTATATTCAATTCTTTCTGACTAAAAAGATATTGGAGACTCTTATGATCAGTGAAAAGTTTGCACTTCGTGCCATAGAGGTAATGCCTCCATATTTTTAGAGCAAAAACTACCGCTGCCAACTCCAAATCATGAGCCGGGTAGTTCATTTCATGC